CAATAGAAAAAAGTTTCAAATCAGTTTCCACTGATTGTACCTTAAGAAATTGTATTTTTTATATTATTAATAATAAATAATCAATATTTTGCATAGTAGTAAAAGGAGAGCAAATGAATCCCAAAGTAAGAAGAAAGGAAAAAAAAAGATGAGAAGATAAATTAATAAAGTAGAATGCAAAATCAATAAGAAGATCAATACAATTGATAAATGATGCTAGACAGATAAGTGAAAAAATACAGATCATGTAGGCTTTCTGAAAGTTGATAAGAGAGGTGATAACCTGGAGATTCTTCAGTTACTGGAAAGTAAAGACATACTTTGAGCATCTTATGCCAACTTAGAGAAATGGACAAATAGTTTGAAAGGCAAAACCTATTAATGCCTTCTCAAATCTTGTGAGAATGCTACAAATAGTCTTAAAAACAAACTGCCGCAAGAGGACCTCACTTTCAGTTCAGCCAGATAATTAAGGAGAAGCAATACCAGGTACATAGAGACTTTCCTAGAAAATTGAAGATGTGGGAATACTTGTCAATTCATTAAGACCAACATTATCCTGATACCAAAACCAGGCAGAGATATTACATGAAAACTACAGACCAGTGTCAGGCCTGAGCACCAAGGTATACATTGTAAAGAAAAATTCAACAAATCAAATATGTCAAAGGAGAATACATTGTGACTTTTGAAAAGCCAGTCAATGTCGTTTGCTATATTCACATGCTGAACATGCAGAGAAAGCATATGACAAAATTCAACATCCATTTTGGATAAAAATCTTGCAGCAAATAAAGCTTTTTAGTGGAATGTTACATTGTTGCCCCATGCCTAGGTTTTATACTTTAGAAATAAAAGGAATAAGCTCACTGTCTGGTCCGGATTCTCCTGCCTGCTTCTGCTCAGACTCCTGCATTACAATAGCAGAGAAGATGGAAGAACTGGCAGTGTGGTAAGGGGCCAGCCGAGCGTCGGGGCTCAGACCTGTAATCCTAGCTACTCAGGAGGCTGAGATCTGAGGATGGCAATTCTGAGCCAGCCCGGGCAGGAAAGTCTGTGAGGCTCTTAGCTCCAGGGATCCACTCAAAAGCCAGTAGTAGATCTATGGCTCAAATGGTAGTGCTAGTCTTGAGCCAAAAAGCTCGATGCATGCCCAGGCTCTGAGTTTCAGCCTAAAGACCAGCATACACACAGTCCCCCCAAATTAGCTTCCCCCAAAACAACAAACCTACTCTGGAGATTTCCTGTGGGAAATATTAACCCTTTCACAAAGGCAGTCTGCCCTCTCCCGCCCCATGCAGTCAGATTCCTCCGAGACGCCTCGCTTCTTCAAGGTGCCCCACGCCACTTTGCCGCCCGCAGGTGCAGGGTCTTAGCTGTCGGCACACGTTGCCCCACGGCCACACTCAGACTCAGACTATCCACACCGTTCCGCTTACCGCTTTGCGTAATGTTGTTAGTGCAAGTGTTAAAGTTTTGCAGAAAATGTGGTAAATGTCTTCATTTTTGCACTGACAATTGAGAACTTTAAGACTCCCTTTAGTTTGGAGCTTTTCCTTAGAGGCGTTGCTTTTTAACAGGTATCCGTGTAGCACAGAATCTTATGTACTGGATGCTCACCCAATTTTATGGATTCCTCATCACTAAACTCCACAGTGGGAAGTCAGAAACGATCGAGAGGAATGTATGATACTTGCTTTAGAGACGGCTGTAGACAATGTGAGTGAAGAGTTTAGGAAATGCATCTTAGCGAGTGTGGCAGTACCTTTTCTAGGCTGCTGAGATGCAGCCTGTCTCTGGAAGCCCTTCTTGTGAGGGACCACCGTACTCCAGTGCATTTAGCACAGCACCTTCTAGCTTAGGTAATTAAACAGTAGTCTTACATTCTGTGGAAGGACAGAGACATTTCACTGGACTAAAACTATCTTGTGTAAATTGAGTATAATCCTTGACGTAATGACCTTTATCTTTTATATCACAAATGCTTTAAAACCGGCACTTCTTATTTTTCTTTTTGTTCCGTGCCTGTGGCTCGAGCTGAGGGTCTGGGCACTGTCACTTAGCATTTTTGCTGACATTTATAGTTCTATCACTGGACTGCCTCTATTTCTGGCTTTTTTAGTCTGGCTTCGAACTATGATCCTCAGACCTCTGCCTCACAAGTTGCTAGGATTACAGGCCTGAGCTCCCAGTGCCTGACTCATTTCTATATTTTCTTTTTTTGGTCCAAGTCTGGGACTTGAACTCAGTACCTGATGCTTTTGCTGATTGGTAGTGCTCCACCTAAAGAAAGAAATACGAAATCATAGTTCTCCTTATGGAGGGTTAACCAGGAAGTAACTTACTTGGAAACTCTCCAGATGTGATGCAGTAAGGCAGTCCACACAGCGGCTGTTTGTGACCTGCTTGGGGAGCGCAGCTTCCACCAGACCTGTTCATTCTTTCTCAAAAGTTGTGTCTGTGACACTTTTGCCCATAGCCTATTGGAGTCTGGGGAGACTGTGAGGGCTAGTGACCAAAACCAGGAGCTGATAGACCTGGCAGAAAGGGAGATGAAAGGAAAAGCCGCAAGAAAGCCCGGGGACTTGAAATGGTAGCACTTTGGTAGGAGAGCTGCTGGCGTGGCATGCGAGTTGCCTTTAGTGAAGTTAACTAGTGAAGTAGAATATCATCAAATGCTTATTTTGCGATAGGCATTGAATGGTGGTTATATGTGTATTATTTTATTTGGCACCAAGCAACAGCTAGAGACATGTCATCGAGCCTCATTTCGCAGAAGTTGCTGTGACTGTGGTTGTCACAGGGAAGTGAGTGCCTACAGGACCTGAACCACATCTCTGGTTCTTCGCCTGCGCAACCTTCCTGCACAGTAAACGAATCACCTCTGACAACCCTGTAACTAAGGCGATTGAAATAGTCAGCTGTCATTTTGTTTTGTTTTTAGACAGGTTCCTACTGTGTTGTCTAGGCTGTTGTTAAGCTTGTGATCTCAAGAGATTTTCTTGGTGCAGCCTCCTCAAAAGCTGGCCTGCTGGTATGTACCACTGTGCCTGCCTCTAGCTTTGTTTTTCTCTTTAAGGTAAGGAAGTATGAAAGTAGTTTAGGACAATTGTTACTTTAACAAGGCCAAATTAGGTTTCCACTAAAAGATGTTAGGACATTGCTTTCTTTTCTTTCTTTTTTCTTCTTTTCCTTTCTTTTTCTGTCAGTCATGGGGCTTGAACTCTGGGCCAGAGCACTATCCCTCAGCTCTTCAGCTCAAGGATAGCTCTCTACCACTTGAGCCACAGCGCCACTTCTGATTTTCTGGTGGTTTATTGGAGATAAGAGTTTCATGGCTTTTCCTGCCTGGGCTGGCTTTGAACCACGATCCTCTGATCTCAGCCTCCTGAGTAGTTAGGATGACAGGCGTGAGCCACCAGCGCCCGGCTAGGACATTGTTTTTTGAAAAGTTTTGTAAAACATTTTATTTCTTGCAAAGGTAAATATATATTGTAGATTCATTAAAACTATCCGTAGTTTTTAAAAAAAGGACTCTAAACTGGTTTTATTAATTGCCTTTTCCACTAAAAGGAGCAAGTCTCCTAACATAAGTTGTGCAAGTGCTAAATTTGTTTGTTTAGTTAGCGCTGCACAATTCCAAAAAGGTGGGAGCAGGTGTAGAGCAGGCGTATTGATTTGTTGAGGGGGAGCACCCATGCGCTGCTCATGGGTGCTGCCCACAGCTGATGCCAGTGCTGTGAGCAGAAGTGCGGTGTCCTTTATTACTGTGTCTCTGGTGCTCTGTAAATGAAGGTGGAGAGAGAACAAATTGGAATTACACGTCCAGTGAACTTACAATTAACTTTTATCTCTGACTCTCAACTGATATGCTTCTTTAAAGATTATAGCCATCTTTCTGAAATACAGTTTTAAATATAAATGTTCTATCTGTAAAAATACAAGTTTGCCTAAATAGTTTGTCAGTGACATGCCTGAAACCTTTTTTATTTTATTTTTTATTTTTTGTCGGTCGTGGGGCTTGAACTCTGGGCCTGGGTGCTGTCCCTCAGCTCTTCAGCTCAAGGCGAGCACTCTACCACTTGAGCTACAGCGCCACTTCCGGTTTTCTGGTGGTTTATTGGAGATAGGAGTCTCACCGTCTCTTCTGCTCGGGCTGACTTTGAACCGCGATCCTCAGATCTCAGCCTCCTGAGTAGCTAGGATTACAGGCGTGAGCCACCAGCGCCCGGCCTGAAACCTTTTTTAAAGCTGTTCTTTTAGCTGTCCATTTACGGTAGCACTACAAAGGAGCACAGAATGACCGCAGAGGGAAATAGCAGTGTGAATTTGCTTGCCTCTTTTTCTTTTTTTTCCCCCATTTGGAGTTGTTTGTTAAGATTTCTGTGAGTATTGGTTTTAAATCCCAAGTGCAGAGTCGGCTCAGCCACATCCGTGATCTGTGGCCTTTCAAGAGCCAGCCTCTGCCCTGTGCCGGCCGCCCAGGGGCTGCGGAGATGAGTCAGGGATTCAGGGAAGGTCTGCAGGCCACTTAGGGAGGGCTTGGCCTAGACTCAGTAAACACTAGTTATTCATTGAGCTTTTAAATGAGGCTTAAATTAAATGAGATTATGCATATATGGAATGTTTGACAGAGTGTCTGGAATTTAATAAGAACTCAATAAATGTTAGTGCTTCTCATTTAAATATTCATATAAATCTGAAAAGCTGTGCCTTTGGATTTTTGCATAAGTCATATATTATATAGTTCATTTATGTTAGGGCATGAAGAAAAGGTAAATAGTTTCTATATTGGCTTTTCCCAATAGTACAAATTGCAAAATTAAAATCATTTAAAACAAATATAGAATTACTGTCTAATTTCTCAGTTTAGGCTACTTGTCATTTCAGGTGTATGTTTGTTTTTTATTATTAGAAAGCGTGGATCTTGTTTGACATCCCAATTCAGAGAACTTTGACAAGACCTGTAATATTTGCCCCCGCTTTTCTTCTCTTCATAGGCCTGTGGAATCTTGCTTCGCTCTTTTCCAACCTTTGTTTATTTGTGTTGATGCCCTTTGCTTTTTTCTTTCTGGAATCAGAAGGTTTTGCTGGCCTGAAGAAGGTAAGTAAATTGGGTTTGGAATTGTATTTGTTAAGTTAGGAAGTAAAAATATTATTCATATTTATCTAGCAGTATGTTCAATACCCTTTAAATAGAACATGAGAAGTTGAATTAAAAATGGTAATGTTAATAACACATTGTTGACAATAATGTTAATAATGTGGTCTTTTAAATTATTTTATATGCTCCTGGGGAGAATCATCATTTTTTAAATTCTGTTTTTGATGCTTGAACTCAGAACCTGGCTGTCTCTGAGCTTCTGTGCTCAAGGCTAGTGCTCTACTGTTTGAGCCACAGCTCCACTTCCAGTTTTTTTTTTGTGGTTAATTAGAGATGAAGGTCCCATGACTTTCCTGCTCAGGCTGGCTTTGAACCACAGTCCTGAGATCTCAGCCTCCTGAGCAGCCGCTAGTGCTAAGCTGGAATCGTCTTTTAAAACTATGGTATGTCTCAGTCTGGTGAGGAATCTTTTGTGAGAGGAATACACCTGATACTATTTCTTAGGATAGCTCATTTAGTTTAGAACATATGTGAAAGCCCCCAAATCTTAAACATACCCCTTGATGGAAGAGCTCTGCGCAGCTGGTATTTTTAGGATAGTAGCACATTATAGAATTCTGTACTCCCAGTTAGGGAGTCAGACGCCCCGATACTGAGAGAAGCTAATTTTGCGTAAAGGTAGAAGGCATAGACTAGAAGTGAATCAGCTGAGGATGTGATGTGGATCAAGGCCTTACAAGAAGCAATACCAATCTAGTACTGATTTGGCGCAAAAGAAGCACAGTCCTAGCTTTGGCCTGCGCGTCTCTTAGCCATAAGTTTTTTGGATGTAATGGAAAGCTTTAAGTCGTTAATTGATTTTCAGTGGCTTTTAAATTTGACAAAGATATTCTGCCTTTTTGATTTTTACTTCCTTTCATGTAATATGGAGTGTAAAATATGCCCATATATTTTATTATTGAATAATACTACAATGCCAATTATGTCCATGTGACTTGGGAAGTTGTAACTATATGTGCGTTGTTTCTTCGTATTTTCATTATTTATTACTTTTTGGTGGTGCTAGGGTTGAACTCTGGGCCTTGCACTGGTTAGACAGGTGCTGTACTACTTGAGCCAGGCCCCCAGTCCAGCCCTCTTTAGTTCATGTAGCTTTTACAACATAAAATACACACTGCTTCATGAGTTTTCATGTTGTCCTTGTGCAGGGGCCATTGTAGTCTTTGCATTATTCCAGTTGGCTAATGAAGCAAGATGATTTCATGATAGAAGGGACTGGAACAATGAAATTCTTGAATGCTTTGCCAGCTCTTCTGATTTAAGCCACACGGTTTAAACATACAGATTGAGGGACACAGTGGGAGAGTCGCTGAAAGGTGGTGTGTGGCTAGGGTGCTTTTTTGGTGGACTCCACTTTCTCTTTCCTGGTTATTTCACATATGCACAATCTGAAGCTGAAAACTAGCAGCTGGCTTCACATTTAGTGGATGTGCTAACGTCAGAATGAGTGAGTGTGTCTGACAGTCACACATGATGCACTTTCAATTCAGGAAGCAATTTGACTTTGTAGTTTGTTTTTTGAGGCAAGGTCTTGCCGTGTAGCCCAAGCTGGCCTTGAACTTGTGATCCTCATGCCTCCCTTCCTCATGTGCTGTGATTAGAGGTGTGTACCGCTGTGCCTATCTGTTCAGAGGTTCTTGAAGAAATTAGATAAAGTCTCATTGCTAGGAGGATTTGGTTTAAACTCTTCCTTGGATCTCCTTGAGATCTAAAGACATTGAGTGGTATTATATTGCTTAATACCTACATATGTAAATGAGCAGGCCTAGAAGCCAAGGCCACAATTCCCCCAGGGTTGCGGTTTTTATGGCACCACGGTGGAGAGCCGGTGAGGGAGACTGGAAGGCCAAGGACAGACGGGGGGCTGAGCCGTGAGCCGTGACGGCAGTGGGCGGGCGGGAGCGCTGCCAGAGGCATGACTGAAGAGGAGAGCCATCTCTCACAGGCTGAGGACCATAAAATATTCAGCGGTATAGACGGGGAAACAGAAAGACCAGCCAGAGGAAAGGAGGCTGTTGGAGGCGCTTGAGGGGTTTCTAGAGAGTTGTGGAGTCAATTTTAATTTTAACAGGGCCTTTATACACAGAGTTTTAGGAAGCTTGCATGACACTACTGAGCAGCCTGCTGGCCATGCAGGTTACGAGAGAGGGCTACTGCATTCAGGCTGGACGCGGGGGAAGTCAGAGGTGGGAATGCATAGAGGCCTTCTGTGCAGCGCAGCGGTGCTGTGGAGACACTGGAAGGACTGGCTGTGTGGCCCCTGCCTGGCACCCCGGGGGGGGGGGGAAGAAGGCTGCCCAGGAGGAGCCGTGCGCGCGGATGGGGTGGGGCTTGGCGGGGACGAGGCGCCCTGAGTGTGGCACTCCAGGCTCTGGGCTGGGGCTGGAGTTCTGCTTGGATTAGGGAACGGCTGGAACGAGGACTGAATCGAGGGGGTCATGCACGGCGACGGCGAGGGTTCGGGTACCCAGTCACCTCAGGATCAGGTGCGTTTGGACTATGTGTTGTAGACAGTAGGGAGCTGGCAGAGGATTTTCCAAAAAGAAGCTTTATGCCTACGGTTTCATTTACAAGTAAAGCGCAGCGTGGGGTCCCCCCACGTTGGTAAGGGCAGGGGTGTCGTGGAGTACACGCAGCGCCGTCGGAGGGTGTGTTCCACGCCGCGCTGAGCCGAGCCGTGGGCTCGGCCTGTTATTGGGCTCCTCCTCCTCCTGCCTCCACCTCCGAGGTACTGTGACCGTGGGTGCTCCTCAGGGGTCGATATGTGTTGCGCATCACAGGCGTATGCACCTAGTTTATATTCCAGAAGCTCTTCTTGTTAGCTGGGTTATTATTGGAAGGAGTGTGTGTCATGGAGAGCCCTTCCCTCCAACCTCCTTGGACCTGAAGAGCCAGGACGGGGACCCAGCTACATCCGATTTAAAGTCAGCTGACAACATCCAGCCATGTGGTCGTCTCCTGTTCTACCTCCTAGACTTAGGAAAAAAAAGGAAATACCAGCTGAGCAGAGACCCAAGAAGTAATTAGCGTTCTTTTACACCTACAGTTGTACGGTTCTTTCCTGCTTGTTCACTTCCAGGTTCTCTCTACATGGTTAAAAGAATATTCTTTTTACGCAAATCTTTGACCATACTCGTCTTCTGAGGCTTTAACCTTTCAGACGTCACCATAGGTTTCAGACCTCAGGTGGGAGTGAAGTGTTGAACGGTTGTGTGACACCGTTTACATCACCAAACCCATTCATTCCCTGACCCAGCCTGGTGCACAGAGAGGGCAACAGGCCTGAGCCCAGGCCAGCGAATGTGGATCCTGCCCTGAGAAGTTAAGGAATGAATAGGTGCTGTACAAGCCAGCCTAAGGACTGTGTGTGTGTGTGTGTGTGTGTGCGTGTGCGCGTGTGTGTGTGTGTGTGCGTGTGCATGCGTGTGTGTGCATGTGCGCAAGTACATGCGCTGGGATTGGGACTTGCACTCAGGGCTCAACCTTCTGTCTTTTAGTTTTTTCACTCAAGACTAGTATTCTACCTCTTGAGCTATAGTTCCACTTCCAGCTTTTTGGTGGTTAATTGGAATGAAGAGTCTCATAGACTTTTCTGCTTGGGCTGGCTTAGAACTGTGATGCTCAAATCTTAGCCTTCTGAGTAGCTAGGATTGCAGGCGTGAGCCACTGCACTGGCTAAGATTTTTTTTTTTTGGTTGGTTGTGGGGTTTGAACTCAGGACCTGGGTACTGACCCTGAGCTTCGTTTGCTTGAGACTAGCACTCTACCACTTGAGCCACAGTACCATTTCTGGCTTTTTGTTAGTTTACTAGAGACAAGAGTCTCCCAGACTTTGCTGCCCAGGCTGGCTTTGAGCTATGATCCTCAGATCTCAACCTCCCCAGTAGCTAGGATTACAGGTGTGAGCCGCCAGCGCCAGGCAAGAATTTGTATTTTAATGCTAATCCAGTGGGGGTAGAAATAGAGTTGTGACTTAAAGATAGAGGAGGGAGAATAATCTCAAAGTGAGGGGGCTGACTGTACTGACATGCCACTGAGGGATGGAAGGCAAACTACAGATACAAAGGTAAGGACATTGGACGCCAGAGCCGGACTGCCCAGGTAGGTTGCTTTATCTAAGCCCCAGGAAGTTTTTCAGTAAAATGGTAATAATAGCTGCCTTGCTCCGTTATTTTGATACTGAGTGAGATTCACATCAAGTACCTAGTTCAGCACCTCATTCCTCTTAGCTTTTAGCCTACGTAAATGCATTCTACTAACAAATATTATTTCTTAATACTTAGATTTCACATTGTGAGACTCAGAAAACTACTGAAAACAGTAGCTGGCTGTTAATTACATATTATCATCTCAGGCAGTTTTAAAATTTCCAGTTATTTTTTTTTGCATTTGAACTGGCATGTACTGAAGTAGAATAAGCCAGTTTTATTATTAAAGGTAGCAGACTTTGAAAATCACCTGCTTGAAGACACAGTGCAGTTTAGACCCTAGCCAGAATGTTTTAGAAAGCTTTAGAATTAAGTGACCAAGGCATACGGTTTTAAAGTACTTACATATATTTTCAGTTTTAAAATCAGTTACATGAAAGTTGGAAACTTTGTTAGCATTGTATAGTTTAGTCTGAATTTGTAAAGAATATGTTTGAAAATGAAGGACGCAACTTGTGTGCAGGGATGGGCAGGGGAGACTGGAGAGAGTAAAGGAAGGGGTGAACTTGTCCAGAAGGACACACTCAGCACCTGACATGTAAAATAATAACCTCCCTGCCCAATACCTTCATAATAACCATAAAGTACACCCAAAAGAGTATGCTTATACAGGGTGCCAGTAGTCATGCTTGTAATTCTAGCTTCTCTTGGGGCTGAGATCTGAGGATTGGGGTTTGAAACTAGTCTGGGTAGAAAAATCTGCAACATTTTCTCTCCAGTTAACTAGCAAAA